CCAAGAACCGCGTCCAAATGGTCGTCATCGTCGGCCTCGTTCCCACGGAGAGAGGGGGCATTCTTAAAACTCCGTGGCGGCGGCCGATTTGGAACGGGTTTATTTATTTGCGCGGCCGCCGCTGCGGCGTTACATTTGCCGTGCGTAATTATTTAATTTCCGAATGTGTACATGCACAGCTATTTATAATTATTTTTTGAAAGCCCGATTCTGTCCAAACCACAACCGCAGCACACGCCGCTACGAAACTCACGGCGCTTCGAGCGAAAGAGGAGCCAAGTGGTGAAAATACAGAAGCGAATATTTTTAAACAATGGTTAAAAATAGCTCTCTTGTTGGCATCCGTACACTTCCGCCAAAGCATAAACAAACAAAAAAATGCTTACAAATGCCAACTTTTTGTGCGTTGACGCTGGCTCGGGACAGGGGTTCGCTGCACTAACAAATCTTCCCGGACGTCCCCCAAACAATCGAGAATATTTTGAGTTTTCCAGCAATAAAACTTTTCAAAATTTTACCGCACACGGGGCCACGGGTGTCCCCACGACGCTCGGCGATGCACTTTATAAATCTCATCAACTTCCCAGCGGCAGCGGCGGTGGCGCCGTGGGGTTCGCTACGATGGCCGGCGCGACCGTTCCGCCCCGCGGAGATGACGGCCCTCTTAATAGACGCGTGTTGGCGGCGGCGCGTAAATCACCCGCCTCGGCCCATTTCTTCGGCCGTTAAACCGCGCTCGGGAGGCCGGCTCTCTCGCACCGAGTCACGGTGCGTGCCGGTGTTTTGCGATCGCCGAGGTCGTGACCTTTCCCGGCGGCACGCTCTCTGCGATCGCAATCGCGGCCCGCTCCCCCCTTCTCGGCCTCATCGCAGGAGTCGAGGTTCTGGGGCTCGGAGCGCGACAGCCGGGGCCCCCTAAGCTGGCAGAACCGAGTCGGCTGTGTTATGAGACACTAGATTAAATACACAAAATATTAATTTAAACAAAAAAACTGCAGCGGTGCATAGTTTGGCGAGCGCCTGCGCCGGCGGGCAGGTGCGAGGATTTATTCAATGTTATTTATTTATTTTGCGTAACGCGATGATTGACGGGCGGGCGGCTCGAATGTCGGCCGCGTCTCCGCATGCGAACATCGCAGACACCCGATCGCGTTTCCCCGCGCCCGCTTCGTTAGCCTCACTTACGCGGCTCTGTTGCAACATCTGCCAAACCGTTAGCATCTAATAGAACAACAATAACATCATCGCCGTCGTCTCCAGCATCGTAAAAATAATTAATCAATCTGGCCTGTTTGCGTCGGTTCATACGGCGGGTTCCACTAACCTCCGCGCTCCCGCCAAAGGTGTCGGCCCACATCCACGAGCCCGGTTTAATTTGGATGACGGCGTGCCCGGAGAGGCGGTTAGCCCGGGTCAAGTTTTCGTCGCTCTGGGAGCAGTCCGACCTCCAGGTTGTGTTTCTCTGGTCACGTGCCCGGGCAGCGGGGGCCCGCGGCCGACCCCGACGCTCGAACGACACCCCAATCGCTAGCACGTGCGTATTTGTGTAACGGCGTAGGGCGCGTTACCATTCCGGGCTTCGTACCTTGGGTACGAAGCGGCCACCGCTACTCTGCTCCCCTGTTCCGCTGGGCTGCTCTGCAACGGACGGCCACGACCACGATGGAGGACGACGTGGGGGGAGTTTGCGTGATAAATAAAAAAACGCGCTCATCTCCAATGGCCGCCGTGAGCCCGTGTTGGAAATTCCACATTCCCATGGCAAGGAGAAGTTTCTTGCGAGAATGACCACAGTCAACTGTCCACAAAGTGGCCCCCCTCGTTTTGTTTTAACATGGAGACATGATGGGGCTGAATCGGCTATCCATTGGGTTTTGAACCAGCAGTGTTATAACTGTGAACCAAAATGCTCACTAACTTCGCTCAGGAGGCACCAGTGACATAGCGGTTAGTACCCTGCGCTATTAACCCAGTAACCGGAAGTGTTCGATACTTGACCACAACTAACATCGGTGGCGAACAACCCCCGGGTGAGGCCTTCACCCAGCAGTCGACTGACAAGGGCCTGTGAATATTCTTCTTTTACAATAACTTCAGCACGAGCAGGGCAAATGTTTGCTAAATTAATTCCGGCCACAACAACCTAACCACCTCCGGCCAGACGCGTGTTTGCTAATCGCCTAGCGCCCCCTCCCCCACGAGACCCCACCCCCACGAGGCTGCGGTGCCTCCTGCTCGCTCGCAGCATCCGCCGGGAGAGAGCCGGCAGCGCTGAGGTCATTGCGGACAGCGCGAGGGTTTTATTTCTCAAGAAATCCGCCGTTCCCTTCGCGGGCCGAGGACAAACGCTGGTCGCACGAGCAGCGCTCCCACACGCGCTCCCGCGCGCTCCAAACGGAGGATTGGTTTATTTCGTCTGCAAGCCACGGTGCTTCCAAGAAAACATTAACTTGGACGGAGCGGAACGACTGCAGAGAAAGCGTTTGGCTGGCAGGCACTTTATTTGTTTGTAAATCAAAATGATAAACGCTCGTTGCAAATCCCTGGCTGGCTCAGAACCCACGTCGCCTCCTGCGAGCGGAGCGGCCGGTGCTTGGCGCTCGTGAACGCGCGAGCGAGCACGCGCGCGCTCGTGCGTGCGAAATCTGTAAACAGCGACATTTTGCAACAATCCGGCCGGATGATGCAAACGCCTAAATCCTCGCCGCCTTTCACGGAGCGAGAGAGAGAGAGCGAGCGCGAGAGAGAGAGAGCGGCGACGCGCGGTTCTCACGCCAGCGCGCTAAGAGCCGTCCCCAGCTTTGTGCTCGCACACGGAGGAGGAGCCCTTGCACCACGGTACAGTTCTGTTTACACGTAAATCCCCCCGAGCTGCGTAAACACCGCATGCGGCATCGCCCGCCGCTGCTGGTGGTAGGGCGCACCTGCAACACTGGGGGTTGGTGGGTCGCGTACAGATGGATTCTCTTTGGGCGGCCGCCTCGGGTTTCTCGCTTGCGCTCTCCGATGCGTTTTCGGGTCGTAGCGCTGGGCATTGTTCGGCACGAAGTCCGACGTTTCAGCTCCGTGTGTTGTGGAGCGACACGGCTGACGTCAAACCCGACTGACTGTTGCTCCGGTCGAAGCTCAAGCGTCGCCCCTGCTGCCCTTCGATCAACCTTCCCCTCTCGGCGGAAGGTCACTCCTTCTCTGCTGCTGCTCCCATTGCCGGAACGCCCTCCCCCTGGCCATCCACAACTACTGAGACTCCTCGTCTATCTGTTCCAGCCCAGGCTCGAGACGATTCTCTTCTCATCCGCCGACGACCGTCCCTCCCCCCTCCCTCTCGCGCTCTCTCTCTCCCCCTGTGAAGTGTCTTCATTTGCACTTCTACTGTAGCCGCGTCTCAAGTCCCCCTCTGCCCTGTAGCGTTCTCTCCATCACTCCCCGCTCGGGAGAAAAAAACCTCAAACTAAGCCTCAAACAAAACCACTCTGTTCGCCGCCACGGATGCGTTTCCCCGCGTCTCGCGCCGCACCGTGCTGTAAGTCACGCGTTTATTTTGTATTTATTTATTATTTACTATCACGCAAACCAAATCCGCAATGCAAAAAGGGATTAAACGCACACGCGCACAACAACTGTAAATATCTTTTAATTTGTGCCACTGGGAAATTAACTTATTGCGCGCTGCAAAGCATTGCTGGCAGCGTCACGCCCGCTACCTTTGGACTGCGAAAGTGGCACTGGCTTTGTTTCAAAACCGCCACGGCCGCTGCCAAGTGGCATACTAAGTCTCTTTTTATTTAGCGAACCCGGGCGAACCCTACGATGGAGAGCATCGCCGGCGCCCACCGCTGCTGCCAGCGCGAAGCGCGTCGCGAGCTCCGGCAGGATCCCCAGGCCCGAGCAGCTTCTAGAGCCGACACCGCACCCACGGACGCGGAATTTCAGACACGGGCAGCAGCTCCTCCGTGGCTTCAGAACGTCAGGGCGCGCGACTTCTGCAATCCGGGACCGATGGCGCGTTTCCCACGAACGGCCCACAGAGCGCCCCGATGCTCGCGGAGGCCGAACGGTATCGACAAACGGAACCGTATCGTGTTGCCGCGCCCAATCGCCAGGGCAACGCGACAAGCGCGGACGTTTATTTGAATAATGCGCGAAGCGAAGGCTCGCAAGGAGGCCTGTTATTTGCATTTATACGCTCATCAGTCACGTAAACAAAGCGCGGCAGATCGGTGGGCCGGCGCGAATGCTTCACAATGGCCCTCGGCCGCTCTCTTCCGTGTTTTATTTATCGACCGGGCTGGCTGCGCGCAGCAAGAGTGATGGCTTCCCCGTGACAAATCAGATTAAGTGTCCATGCGCGAGGGCGCCGCGCAAACCCAGGAGCGGGGATCGGAGAGCGCAAAGCGCAGAGCGCAGAGCGCAGAACGCAGAGCGCAAGGACGTGGCCAAGGACTGGCCAGAGAAACGAGGCGTGAGTCTCGACAGCGAGAAAAATCCAAACTCGGCCGGCGAGCCGTAACGACGGCACCGATTATTATCGGGCGCGACGCTGCGGAGCGTTCACACGTCGCGGGGCCTTCTCCACGCCGCGGACGCCGTGCCGATGGAATAACGCACCTGGGGGCGTCGACACCGACGGATACAAAATAAACGCGACGACGTCCCTGGGAGTGAAGTGGGACCAGAAGCGGATTGGTCACAACCCCCCCTAAGCTCCAATTCTCTCAGAGCCCACCCACTGCCCCAACCCCCGCCCCCCCCCGCCATTTTGCAGGGGGTGATCGCTACCGCGAGGGGTCGGGGCGACCCCGCTCGCGACCCCTCGTAGAGTGCGACAGCTGTCACTACGAGTTCGTCAAGTAAAAAAAAATGAAAGGACGGGAAAAAAACCCCCACGACAAAACGGAGAACAAAACGGGGGAGAAATCACGACATGTGACAGCGCGTGGCCCGGCCCCGATCACGCCATCGATCGCGAGCGGCCGGCGCGACGCCCGCGGGGGCCTCACCTCTGCTCCTGGTTCGGACGCTCCAGCCGACCCGGACGATGGCGTCCACCGCTCGTGCCGTCCTCGTCCACGCCGCCTCCTCCTCCTCGCCCCGCGCCGCCCGGCGGCAGCGGTGGCACCACCACCACCGGCGGCGGCGGCGGCGGCAGAACCTGCGACACGCGCGCACGTGGCCGAGCCCGTAGGGGCGTCGTTAGCCAACTGACGAGCGCGTCGTTAATTACAGGGACGGCTCCGTCAGGTGGCGGCACTGGACGCCGATCCCCAGGCCGTCCCGCGAGGCAGGTGGGGGGGCGGCGGAGGGGTGTGTGGGGGTGTGTGGGGGTGTGGGGGGGGCGGGCGGGGGTGGGGGTTACCATCACTCCCCTCTCTCGCAGACACAGCGAGCACTGAACAGCACGCTAGACTAATGGGCCGTGGCACCTAATTAATTTTTACCGCATGTAAATTCTCCGTGTTTCTTTTTTCAAATGAATACGTACATATTTTAACGAGCTCGCGAACGCCCCCCCCCCCACCACTGCCCGCCCTCGCCCCCTCCTCCTGGCGCAGGAGGAGAACTGCGCTCTCGTGACGACGCTTTACCCCGCGTGTCACCCGCGCCGGGGGTCTGGACCCGGCGACGTCCGCACGTACGAACACGCGCGTGCCCGCGTGTGCGCGTGTGCACGTGTGCGCGTGCGCGTGCGCGTACGATTTCCATTCAGGCTGGCATAAAAACTAAAACCGTGGCAAACGGAACGAAATGAGAATCGTTCGCACAAAATGTAATGGGTACTTACAGCTGACAAATATAACAAATGGGCTGCAAGGGGTCCGTAATAAGATTATTAAACATCTTCTCCACGGCGCTTGTGGGTAATGGCTCTGCGGCCAGGCGCGCGGCGAGTTGGCTACCTGCTTAAGGACGGGTCATTTGTCACCGGCTCTGACAAGGCCAGGGATTTCGGTAATGACTTCATAACGAAATTACGGCGCGCTGTGCCCGGGGGGAGTAAATGCCACGGAGCGCACGCGGCCTGCGACGCGGGCGCTCGAGGGAGAGGGCCCAGGAGGCGCCGCCGTGGGCCGCGAGGACAAACTCCGACGTCACGGCTCCCCCCGGGTCAGAGGCTCGCCCACGGAGGGAAGGACGGACGGCGAGGCATTCGGAAGGACAAGGACGGATGAACTGTGGTCGAGAGGGAGGGCCAGACGAGCGTGCGGAGGGCGTGACACGGACGGAGAAAAGCGAGAGGCACAGAAGGACGGATCGAAGGATGGATTGGGCGTTAACAGATTGGGTTGAGGGCCGAGAGGAGAGTTTTTCAATTTGCGGGGGCGCCCCGCACAATCGCGGACAAACCCACACTTTACCCCACTACGAGCGGTTTATCGATTTTCCGCTCGGCGGTCGTTTTAGCCATCCGGGAGTAGAGGTGACGGCGGGGATAGAGGCTCGCCGGGCCGCTCGACGGCGGCGAGCAGCAAACTGGGCGAGCGTCAGACAATCCGCTACGAGCAGCCACCCAGCCCACCCGCTATGTTCGTTTCTCAGGTACGGACGTCACGGCCAGAGGGAAGAGCGCCACTCAACATTAAATCCCGAGTCCCATTTCTGTGACGCCGCACACACACACAAAAGGGAAATTACATCGGTCACGGTCCAGAGGTGAAAACCATCGCTGTCTGGAGAAATTCAGTAAATTGTGGGGGAGGGGGTGGCGGGTTTGTAAATCTCCTTTAAGTGCACAGAGAATGCATGGGACCACATTAAAGCCGCCGCAAGAATGCTCGTTAAAGGACTACGGTGGCGTGGGAGGGAGTAAAAGGTGCCCTGTTAATTTTACCCAATTCACTCACTCTGTAAATGTGCACAGACAGCCATTCTGTCAATCCACTGCTGGATGAGGGCCCCTGCCCACATCGCGGGCTGGGAAGCAAACTCAGGTCAGCGGGTTCAGTGCGCTAGAGCAGTGCGCTCACTGCCGCTCCACCCGTGTGTTATTTACTCCGGTGCCATAGCTCACTAGCTCGATTCATCTGGCTCCAGCTCCGGATCTGGGTCAATAGCAAGAATCCGGGCCATGCTTTCCCCCCCTCCAGACGTCCATCAGGGCCTCCACCCCCCACTGCGCCCCTTCGTTAGGTGTGTCCAATAAAGAGAACTAATTGATGGATCGTTTCACCCAACCCTTGTCAATTGACGTAAGTGGCCACACCTGACACGGAGAGCTCCGTGGGGGGGTGGGGCGCCGCGCTGTCTCATTAACGACCGTTCGGGACGAGGCCCAATGAGCCGGCGCTTGCCAGCGGCGAGACCCAAAACCAGGGAGAGGGGGGGGGGCCTGCGCGGACCGGAGCGGCGCTGATGGGCGTGGGAGATTAATTCCTGTGCATTGCGGGACGTGCAGGACAGGGGCGTGGAGACGCTCCATTATGAAGGAATTCATCAGGGTTAAATCCCGCTCAGAGCGACGTGCAGCCACCACGGCACCCCGGGGGGAGGAGGAGGAGGGCGCTTTCAACGGTTTTAAGTCGGCGGACTCAGACGCTGCCACCTGACGCGCCGATTGCGGTCCGCTCGTCTCTGCTGCGATATCTCTTCCTCGCTGCGCTTTGTTTCCACGTCACCGCCGTCGTCACTCGCGCAAACGGAACTCGTCCTGGCCTCGCGGGCCCCCCATCGCCGTGGCGGAGCCCCCCGTGCGCGCCCTGCATCCGCGCCGCGTTTACAAACCACTCCGACAAAAGGCCGGGAGAGAGAACCTCAATAGAATTATTTTATCATCGCTAAATAATGCAAAGTACATTTTTCATTAAACTTTGAAAATTATAGAGTGCGGCCCTGTCATATTCAGGCAATGCCCCTGAATAATTGAACGATTCCATCAGGGCCGCCGCGGATCTTGCCCGCGCGCACCTCTGCCCGGGAATGCCCCCCCCCCCCACCACCCCCACCACCCCCCCAAAGGTTGCAAACAAAAATAAAAACACAGGACGGTCACACGGCTCGGAAACAAACGTGGAGATTGAAGAGTCAATAATTAAAATGAATAACGGGCGCCCGCGGACCAGGCTCCGGCCGGAAGGGAGGGGTGGGGGAACGGGTCGCCGTGGCCCCCCACCCCCCCCTTGCTGCACAGCATCTCCCCGTGTCCCCCTTTCCCCGGGTGTGCCCGCGGTCCTCCGTGTCCCGCTCCACGTCGCTCCCCGGATGCCTCCCTGCTCCACCCACCCGCGGGTCCTCGTGTCCCCGTATTGGTCACGTTGCCCCCCCCACACCCGCTCCCCCGCATCACGAGGGGCCCCTTATTGTTCGACGTCCCTCGACGCCTCCCACATCCTTCTCGCGCCGCCCGGTATCTCGCCACATTCCCTCGCGCCTCCGCTAAATCCCCAACGCTCCTCCGGTTTCCTCCACCTTACCCCCCCCCCCCCGTGCTCCCCCCGTGGCCGAAACCCCCCCTTACCCCCCCGCCATCCGTACATCTCCCCGCCACCCCCAACGGGAGGCGGGAGGGCAGCGGAGAGATCCTCCCTTGATGTGTTCGGCGGGACTTCCGTGACGATGTCCGCCGTAGTGGGTCCGAATAATGCCTCCAAAACGCGTTGTCGTGTCGCGTTTACTCACGCGCGCTCCTCCGATCGTGCGCGCGCGTCCGTGCGTGCGAGACACCGCGATCGCCATCTCCACCGCCGCCAAGAGGGAAAATGTCGCGAAACGGCGCAATGAGCCGGGTGGAACGGACGTGAGGACGGGCGAAGAGGATGGCGAGTGGCGGTTGACGCACAGGGGGGGGGGGCGGGGGGAGGTTGGCATGGCGGGGGGCTGCGCCACCGCCCCCCGTTGCAGGAGAGACGATTGCCATTACAACCGGCAACAGTGGCGCTTAATCTTGCCATTAAAACGAAATCAGAGCTCGTGGCAATCTGCTTACGGTGGTTGTGCTCTTTAGGGCTAATGTGTCAACGTTAAATTGAATCGCAGTTTTAATTATACGCGTGCCATTAGTTAGCTTTAATTACTCATAATTTGCATATCTAGATTAGACAAGCAATTTGAAAAATAGGTCAAGTGTTTTATTTCGTATGAAACCAACATTTCAGTTCATTTGTTGCCACATGCCCATTTAACCTTTAAGTGGCACTCATTACCCAAAATTAGCCACAGATAATTGTTCAAAATCCCGCAACGCCGAGGCTCAGCACAAATTTACGTGGCGAAGACGAACGCGGCGCGAAACGCGAGCAGTCTATTGATTTGTTAATTCGGCCGGGGACACAACGGACGCCGACAATGTGCCGGAGCAACTTCCGCCGTCTCCGAGAGGCGCAGATGAGGCTTGAGCGACTTCGTCAACAGCCGCCCGCCGGCTCTGGCCGTGACGGCACTCGATCGCACCGGCGTGACGTTCTTCATCCGTCGCCGAACGAGCGACCGCCGAGTTCGTCAGCACCAGAGTCCGTGCGCCGTGACGAGGGCTCGCACGCGAGCCGCAACCTTCCCCCCTGTCCTCGCCCGCGAACCGGCTCCGCAGATAGGCTCCCTCCTCGTGCCCGTCACCCTTGGCACAATCACGGATCCCCGGGCCGCACGGCATTCGTCTCGGCCATTCCGCACCGACGCCTACGGCGCTCGCGGATCCAGGAGAAAACCGCGTCTGTGACGCGGCCCGTGCCGGCCAAACCCACGAGCGGCGGGAGGGGCTGCCAGCGGGCCCCACCAGGGGGGCCAGCGAGAAAATCTGACGCTCTTCTCAAAATTGAGCCGCCGTGACGGTGATTAACACGCGGCAGAGGCTTACGCAATGTTCCACGGTGCTCGTAACCTCAAGATTTTGACACCTATTACTGAGCAGCGGTGGAATGCACGGAATGTGTTTGTGTGTGCGTGCGCGCGTGTGTGTGTGTTAGTGCGCATGCGTGTGTGCGCGCTAGTGTGCGCGCTAGTGCGTGTGTGCGTGCTCTTCTTCTGAACAAAAGAATGAAGGGGGCGTGGGAGCATGGCGGTGAGGTGTGGGAAGCTGCAAGCCCCAGACTACTTTGGGCTCGCCTTCCCATCAACCAGAGGCGAGGAGTGGTGGTCGTGGTTACTTATGCCCCCATCGAAGACGAACATCCTTGGAGGCATGCAGGCAAGGCCGATGAGTCAGATTCCTTCTATGACCTC